GTTGCAGGATGCCGCTGAGGGGCTGGGTCAGATGGTCTTCTCCATCAGCTCCTTTCAGGTGACATTAAAACCAGCAGCATCTCTCCAGCTGGGTGCTGGGGGGTTATTCCCTCTGGGGCCCCTCCTTTTCTTGCAGGTTGTAAAATTCTGGAAATGGCCATGCACAAAATCTGAGGGTCAGGAGGAGAAGCCTGGGAAGGGGACAGTGAGCACAGCTGGATGGCATATGGGTGGGGGACAGAGACAGGAGAGGGCCCTGGAGAAGGACAAGGGACTGGTGGGATGCTCAGGCCAAGGGCAGCAGCAAGGACGATAACATCTCCAGGGGCTTGGGGGTGGCTTTCTCCTCCTCCAGCCACTGTGGAGTGGGGATGGGCAGATGCTGTGCTTGAGGAGATGATGCCTGGGGGAAGCATCTTCAACCCCCCCACCGCTGTGCTTGTCTGGCCCCAGGCGAGACCCAGAAGCTGGAGACGGTTTGGCTGTCGGGGATCTGCCAGAATGAGAAGAATGAAGTGATGAGCAGCAAGCTGGACATTGACAACATGGCCGGGGTTTTCTACATGCTGCTGGTGGCCATGGGGCTGAGCCTGCTGGTCTTCGCCTGGGAGCACCTCATCTACTGGAAGCTGCGTCACTCCATCCCCAAGTCCCACAAGCTTGACTTCCTCCTGGGCATCAGCAGGGTGAGTGATGCTGCTGGGGGCTCTTGAGGTGCCCAAATGTCCTCCCATGGTGTCATGGGGATGGGTACAGCTTGGTGGGCATCATCCCTTCGACCCTCACAGGAGGGACTGGAGATGTTAGTGCTGATGTGAGCTCTTGGGTGGGAAGAAAAGCCAGGTTTTGGGGAAAGGGCTCAGCCCTGGGAATGACCCCGCATCCATATTAGCATCCCCAGGGAAAGGGGTGATGGGGGATGGTGTCACCCACCCTGGCAGTGCTGGGGATGCTGGGGAGAGGACATCAGTGCCATCTCAGCCTCAGCAGAGTCATTTCGGCTCAGCAGGGCGGGGTCATGGGTGCAGGACCCCAGTGGCCCTGCTGATGGTGGGGGCCCCGGCCCTTCTCTCCCCAGGGCATCTACAGCTGCTTCAGTGGGGTGCAGACCCTGGCAAGCCCCAGGCAGGTGCCCACGCCTGACGTCACCGCCAGCTCGGCCCAGGCCAACGTGCTGAAGATGCTCCAGGCGGCCAAAGAAATGGTGTCGACGGCCAGCGTGGGCGGCGCCCTGGGGGCAG